TCAACAATAATCAGTGATGTCTTACTGTATCTTTGTTTGTTGTAACTGTCTCAAAAACAAAAATAGCAATGGGAATCCAAATTCAAGCTGGGACGCAGCCCAGGATTTGGAGGTAGAGGAAGTAATAAGATCATAGAGGTAAGAGTTAGAAGTGACCTCAAAGACCGTTCAATTCAAATGCCTTTTTTTTACATATGAGAGATGAAGGGACTTACCCAAGGTTATCTTCATTGGTTATTGTTCAATCATTTTTCAGTTGTGTCTGACTCTTGGTGACCCCATTTCTTGGTGAACCCATTTAGGTTTTCTTGGCAAAGATACTGGAGGGATTTGCCATTTTCTTCTCTAGCTCATTTTACAGGTGAGAAAACTGAGGCAAACAAGGTTAAGTGACTTGCCCACAGCCCCACAGCTAGTAAGTGTCTGAGACCATTTGAACTCAGGAAGATGTGTCTTGCTGACCCCAGGCCAGGCACTCTGTCCACTGCACCACTTACCTGTCCCCCAAGATCACCTACGAGGTCAATATTAGAGTCAGAATTTGACTCCAGTTATAACCAATCCAGATCCAGCTCTTTCCCATTGTACCACACTTCCTTGCCTTTTACCCTCTTTTAAGGTTATGATCTTGTTTAAGTTACACTGGAAACACCATGGGAACATCTTCAATCGAATTATATACTGATATGTTGTTGGATGTAGATATAAGTTAAACAACTACAGTAAAAGTATGTCTCTACTTAATAAGGAGATTTAGAAATCTAACTTAGACACTGGTGGTGGCACAGTCTTCTTCCTGTTTTGCTTTTTTGTTGTTTGAAAAGGTTATGAGATGGGAGAAACAAGCAAGAAATTGATTCCCCAGATTAGTTCCAGGAATTCTGAAGTCTTTTCCTAAATTTTTCTTGTTGTTCAGTAATGTCTGACTCTTCATGATCCCATTTTTGGAGGTTTTCTTGGCAAAGTTACTGTAGTGGTTTGCCATTTCCTTCTCCAGGTTATTTTACAGATGAGGAAACTGAGGCAAATAGGTTTAAGTGACTTGCCCAGGGTCTCATAGCTGGTAAGTGTATAAGGTCAGGTTTGAATTCAGGTCTTTCTGACTCCAGGGTCAATGTTCTATCTACTGAGCCACCTAGCTACCCTACAATTAAGCTAATGCCATTTCCTCTGTGCTAAGAGAAGATGACACGAAATGAGAAACTACAGACAAACACACACAGAGGAATGCTAGAGCCAGCTCAAACCAGAGCCAGTTGTTGAATTTTCATTGTGAATATTTATACCTCAGAAATCAGCAAACACTATATAAATCATGGCTTTATTATTTGTTAATCATAGAGATTCTCTAGATTTAAGAAAGGGTTGGAGAAAATGTGAATAATGCAGACAAAATTTAAGTCTGTCATGTATACACTGTTTTATTACCCCAGAGAGCTGATTGTTAAACATTTATCAGCATCTTTCCTTAATACTCATCTAAATGAATGAGGTGCAGAGAGTAGGGACCTTTCATGAAAATCCTGTGGATCTCTGAATCTGTGGTTTGGGACTATTGAATTAAATATCTAGATTTTCCTTGCTTCATCACTAACTAGCTATGTGACCATTTAACTTCTCGGTGTCTGTGTCTTCATCATGGTTAGACTGCATATGAATCATCTCTAAAGCCCCAAAGGTGTTGAGATTCTAGGTACAGTCTGAGTATAACAGACTCCAGGGGCCTCTTCTAATTCTTCCCTTTGTTGTGAGGAAAGGGCTTTATCCATCTTCCAATGCTATGGAAATATGAGTTGTGACTGCTATCATTGTAATTTGATTGTAGAGAAAATTATTTGACATAAGTAGGTCATTGGTGGAGGCTTGGAAGACTCGGAAACTCTTCTGCTATACAGAGATTTTTGTTGTGATGACATTTTTGACCTGCATTTATCAGTCCTAGGAATTAAATCTCAGGTATCCAATCTATTCTCTCTCTCTCTCTCTCTCTCTCTCTCTCTCTCTCTCTTTCATACACACACACAAACACACACATCCCTCTTTATTGATCGAGAGATAACAGAAATGATTAAGATATTGGTGGAGATACTTCTCCTGCAGAACTGTACAATTAGGTGTCATAAGAGATATTTCTGTCTCAGATGACAAGATTATTATTGTTACAAGGTAACCTCAGCCTTTCCTTATTATTGTGTCTCTAAGAACTCTCTGTTCTTCATTAGACCAAAAGTGACCCTCTATTTCTGAAACAGAGGGCCTGGTGATTCATTAAAGGAAGTATGACATCACCTCACAAACTGAGGCCCTGAACTTGTAGCTTCCTATACGTATTTGTTTGGCTCTGTTGACATTCACTCATTCATTTATTCATTTGAATATCTATTTATTTATGTCATCTATTTATTCATTCATTTATTTGCTCATCCATTTATTTGTTTGTTTATTCATTCATTCATTCATTCATTCATTCATTCATTTTTGAGGGAGTCTCCCTATCTTGCCCAAGGTAGAAATTCAGGGGCCCTTCAGTCTTGGTTCCATTGCTTATTGGCATAGGAACTTTGATCTGCTGTCTTTCTGACATGGGTCAGTTCACTCTTCTTTAGGCAACTTGGTGTCCTCCCTCTCCAGGGGCTCACCATATTGGTGGGGACACCCGATTCACTTTAGCTCCACTGCAGCCCAGAATTCCCAAACTTAAGCTTTCTACCTGCCTCAGCTTCCTGTGGCTGCAGGGATTATAGGCATGCACCACCATTCTGTTTCTCAATTCTTGATTCTATTGACATTAACAAAAACATTTCCTCTCCTGTTAGAGGTAGATAGTCTTCTAGAAGCTTTACTGACTATCAGTATCAATAACCAAGTTCTGTGATTCTGGAGACAACAGAGCTAAAGGGGAGATTTCAGAAGCTACTGTATTGGCTCAGTATAGACCTGCCATGACTGGTCTGCCAAGAAAAAATGGATTCCCTTATAGTTGGTCATCGTCTGCTATGTGATGAGGGCAGCAAAACTAACTGTGGAAAAACTAGTTAAAAGGACATTGCTCTCCCAGTGTGTAGTTTCCTGGGTATTTCAGTAATAGAAGCCTTGGCTAGGATTTGAAAATGGGGATTCTGCAAGATTCCACCAAATTCCTTTCCCACTGAACTAAGAGCATAAGAAGTCTGCAATGAGGATTAGGGTCATGTATTTACTAAGCCCTGTGGTGATGCCCAAATGCAGGTTGTATAGAGAAGGCTCTTTAGGTTGTCTGATTATTGGCATCAAATATTTGGGCTAGCATTGGCTGTCAGCCCTAGAAAGGGAGGAGATCTGAGGAAGCAGCTTTGAAGTAAAGATGAATGGGATGAAGAAATCTACTCATAGACTGAGGAATGCCATTTATATACTGCTAGAAATTTTGTGTGCATTATACCCTTTGAACCTCACAACAAGCCTGTGAAGTAGGTACTATGGATATTATCATACCCATTTTACAGATGAAAAATCTGAAGTTCATAGAAGCTAAATGATTTGCTCCTAGTCACATAAGTAGCTAACTATCATAGGCAGAACTGAACCTAGGTCTTCCCAACCCCAAGTTCAGCATTATATTGTGCTGTCTCACCTCATCCATCCTTTCAGAAAGGTGAATAGACTTAACACTCTCAGATTTGTAAGAGCCAGACAGTTCCAGTTCCTTACTTCTTCCATGTAGGTCACAGGTAGAGTAGACTGACTGGTATCTACTTGTCCCATCACTTTCTGGTAGAAAAATTAGCATTTTGCTCAGGAGGATGAAAGTATCAGTGTTAATTCAGGCAGATGGAGTTTAGACATGGAGAAATGCCAGCCAAGATTTATACAGCTTCTATGAACATAGGGCCAATTCCGTGAGACTATCAGCAGCTACCAGTTTGGTTGAGTCTATTAGTAGTAAATAAAGTGCTTGATAACGCTGATGCTCCCCCACCCATCCCTTCCCACCCTCCCCCACCCCTGCCCCATGAGTAAAGCTGCAGGCAGGCACTCTTTGGAGTCTTTCAAGTTGTAAGCCATTTTATTCCAGTCCTTCAAACATCACATATCATCTTTATTTCGGAATGGACATTCTCCTTTTCCAAGATTCCAGGACACAGTAATGTTACCTAGCAGAAGTATGATACAAAATCTGTTAGGTCTCAGTATGCTGATATCCCTTTAACTAACTCGGTCCCATTGCAATGGATTAAATTACACACAGAGGACTGACTGGCAGCTCTTGGGATGGAGAAGGAGAAGGAGAAGGATAGTCCATATGAACAACAGAAATAATCATTGACAAGCAAGGGAGAGAATGATTTCAATGCATTTAGTTGAGTGTATACAATCACCACATGTCCAGTTATTTATTTCTATCCTGTACAGTTGGAGATACCATGCTCTTCACTCCGGTACTGGGCTTCACTGGGAAAAAAAGCAACAACTATAATTTGGTAAGATTCTGTGGCCAAGGAGGCATGGCCCAGACCTGTTCAATTTTCTCTTTTAAAATACAATAAACTGATTTGATCATGTCCTCCCCAAGAAAAACCAACAGGAGAAATTCAGTTCTAGGTTCTCAACCCTTAAACCAGGCAAGGCTGACATGGCCCCTCCATACTGGCAGCTAGGACAGATGGCGTTCATTACCCAGCAAGTGCTTTGTTTATCTTAGCTACATCCCCATACAGGAACAGCAGGGTCAGCTGAGTGATGGATATTGCCAATGGCATTTAACAAATCTCAGCCCTTCTCTGAGGGTCTCTGGTCAGAACCTTGGGTTCTGAAATTCAGAATTCTTGGGTCAACGCTGCTCCCTCAATGTCATCACACAGCATCGCTGTGGCTAGAATTGTTGTTGCTGTTTGTCCTTCATTCTCAAAGGGGACCATGACATCAGGGAGGTGATGCCATGACATCAAAGTGAGTTGGATTTAAGTGAGGGAGGGCTGTGCGAAGTCACCAGCCTCACTTTCTCCTTCAGAGCCATCTGGACCCAGTGGCAAGATTCAGTCAAACTGAGACCTGTTAAAGACCTTAACTTAAAAAAAATGGCTAGAGTCTGTTTTTTTGGTAGTCCCTTCCACATAGTACTCTGCAGAAATAGAGATATAAACAGGGACTACACCTGTGATTTCATTGATACAGGGAACTCTCAGAAAGGAATCATCCTTTACCAATTCAGGCTGGTACCTTCTTTATAACTTAGAGTCTGAAAAGGGTTGCCTAGAGTACAAAGAGTTAAATGGCTTGCCCAGGGGCACTCAGCTAGTATGTATCAGGACTTGAACCCAGGTCCTCCTGACAGCAAGGCCAGCTCTTTACTTTATGCAAGGCTACCTCTCTGCACAAATGCCTAATGCATCCTATTTATTTAGTAGAGTTTTGGTCATTTTTTAACTAGTCTTTGAAAGGCGAAAAGGTGTAGGAAGAATATCATCTCTCCATCCTCTATACATTTAGGCAGGGAATAGAAACAAAGAAGGAGGTACCAGGTGGGATGGTAGGGCCCTGGAGTGGGAGTCAGAGCCGTCCTCCAGTATATATCCTTCCTTCAATGATGAGGCCTAGATCTGCTTCTGATTCAGAGGCTTACACTGTAGTCTGAGAAAGGATTGGGAAGGAGAGCTATGAGAGGCAAATACATTCATTGATTCATAACTAGAAGCTAAAAGAGGCAAATATACTCATTGATTCATAAGTACTTCTGCAAAGTGATGAAAACAGAGCTCAGAGAAAGCCTCTGGTGAGACAGGACTAATCCTCCTTTCAACAATAAAGCTCTGGATTTAAGCACTAAGGAAAGCTAGACCTAAAGCAAACCTGGAGATTTCTGGGTGGAAGGCCTGGGGCTATCGAAAGGGCTGAGAGAAAGCAAAATTTCCTTTGTGTGATGAGGTCTTAATCTTCAGACTGGAATGAAGGAGAAGGGGAGACTGAGTCTAATTTCCTTTCACCTGTATAATCATATTAACAAGGAAAAAAAAATCTAAAATCTTCTGTTTGGCTTTTGAAGTCCTTCCAAATCTGGTCCCTTTGTACCTTCCCAGTGATCAGTCCCCTTCGAGATTGAAGGACAAACAACAACAACCCTTTATTCCCCTCTTGTCTTTCTTCTGTCTTCTTGCTATCTTTCCTACAGTGAGACATTCCATCTTACTCCTAGTTCTTCTAGTCTCAGATAAAGTCCCACCTTCTTCAAGGGATCCTTTTCTTATAGTCTTTAATCGTAGTGTGCCTTCCCTTTGATATTATCTCTGATTTATCCTATCTTTATCTTGTCTGTCAAAAGTTGTTTGAATATTGTCTCTCTATTAGACTCTGGTGAGCTTAGAAGCAGGAAATTATTATTATTATTATTATTATTATTATTTCTTTGCCTTTCTTTGCATCCTCAGCATTTAGCACACAGTGCCTGGCACATAGTAGGTGCTTAATAAATGCTTGTATAGAGCAGGTCAAGGTGGGATTTAAAGCCATCCAGCTAAGGCTCCCCAATAGAGGGAACTAGTTCCATGTAAAGAGACTTTCTGCTCATTTCAGACAACAGCACAAATTTAGATTTTTTTTACTACCAGTGTTAATGGACTTAATTTAATGGACTTTAATTGCTAATAATACAGGATGTAGGGTATGCTTCTATGAGCTCATTGTGCTGCTTAGACATGGCTTTTCTTAATGTTTCCAAACGCAATGTCTCTACTTACCCTCTGTGTTTTCTGTTACAGAGGTGACCTCTGTTGGAGAACCAACCTGGGGATCTATCTGTCTCTTTGGTAGGCCATGCTTGATGTCTACTTCCCAAGAGCTCTAGCTACTAAACAACCAATCAGTGTGAAGAATGACGCTCTCCCCTGCTGTTCATTGACATTTAGCACCTTGGGGTTGGACTCTAACTCTTAATTTGAAATCTAAAGTAACCAGTAGCCTGCGTGAAAAGGGTAGAGAACCTGGCTTCACCTTGGCATGGGCCTTGAACCAAAATCAGCCTTCTGATTGTATTTGGTAATGGCAAATGTTGCCATGTTCATATCCCATCCATCACTCCCCTGGGGCCCTCTGCCAACCTCAGCAGCACTTCCAGATTCCTTACCAAAGAAATTGGATGAGCGCCCCAGCCAAAGATACTGGGGATTGCGTTTCAGAGACATCCCTGACTTGGGAAGATGTGCATCTCAAAAGTGTCACAGGTTTGGGTTTGAGGCTCTGGAAGTCCCAAAGGCATGTGTGTCTATGATTTTCTTCTTTTTGAAAGCATCAAAGAAGCACTAGGTTTCCACTCCCATTGATTATGGTCCTGGTAATACCCTAAGATTCCCATCCCTGTAAGTCTGACCTCCTTCCCTTTCCCAAGTATCCTTTACCTGGAAACATAAAATGAAGAACTGGGCCTTTTGATATATTTTTTTCATTTTTTTAAATACATAAAATACACCTATTGATTGGCGCACCTGTGCAGACAGAATATATGACTTTAAAACACAACATGTCAGACATTCATTAGAGCTGGCTTACCTCACAATAAGCTACCAAAACAAAAACAAAAACAGTCTTTTGTAGTAAGACTGTAAGAACACTACCACCCTTTCCCAAGATCTCATTAGACATGCATCTCCCTTCAATATTCCAGAACACTGTTTTTGTCTTCATTACCCATCACTGTATATTTACAACATTCTTATCTGTTAACACAAAGAGCGACTAGATATAGGCCTGGTTTTGGAAGATAGATTTTTGTTTATTTCCTCAATACGGTTATGTTAAGTTGACTAGTATAGACCTGTCTTAAAAACCAGCTGAGTCATCTTGCCCCTGCTTTCTGCTTATTCACCTTGAGTAATGTTCACAGCTTAGACACTACAGCCCACACTGGAATTGATCCATTATGGGTTGATTGTTCAAGCCTGTTCAGTGGCTGTGCCCTATGGCCTAGGGTACAACTTGTTATTGGGGAACAGTCACCCACTGCATCTGTACTTGGAACACTTAGGTGTATTTAGCAATAAACAATGGGGAAGTTTGGTTTTTTTTTTAATCTCTTTTTTTTTATCTTTTTTTTTTATATTTTTTAAAATCTCTTAGAGGTCTCAGGCCCAATGTACCAGGGTTACATAGTTTTTGAACTCTGGCATCCATGATCCTTAGTTTTAAGAACAGACATGTTAAACCAAAATAACAACAATAATAAAAAACCCTTAAAACAACGAACACCACAAAATCTGTGTAGAACAGTATTGTCCATGCTCTTGACAAGCAGATGAGAGCACTTGGCATTCCCATGAACACATCCACAAAAGAAGCTAAAAGGCATCACAGAAGAAGGAATATCTGGCCACACAGAGGCAACATCACCACCAATGTTTGGCAAAAAAAAGAAAAAAAAAAGAAAAAAAAGCAGCTCTATAGAATTCATCCAGACAATGGGAATGGGGTTCAGAATTGGCCCGCGCTACTGGGGTCACATTGCAGGAGGCGCACTATGGAAGGATCACTCTTGGCTCCTCGGATGAATTCTTCCAGGGAGAGTTTGCCTGGAAAATAAGAACAAAATTTTAGATGAGAATGCGTGCTCTTTGTAATGGATTCTTAACATTTACTTTATGGTCAGCCTGGTACTACACACCCCTACCTACCCTGCTATCAGTCAAGCAATAAACATATTAATCACCTACTGTGTGCCTAGTACTGTGCTAAACCTGGAGATACAAAAAAAGGAAAAGACAGTTTCTGCCCTTATGGAGCTTACAATCCAATGGCACAAACAATATGCAAATAAATATATGCAAAGCAAGCTATATACAGGCTACATAAGAAATAACTAATAAAGGGAAGGCAAGAGATTGCAATCTTGGACCCACCATCTCGGTTGGTATCCATCTGGCGAAAGATCTTCTCTGTCCTTTTTTCTGGTGTTGATTCATCTTCGGGCATTTTCATTACTGAAGAAACCATCTTATAGATTGCCTAATTGACAAAAAAAAGGAGAGAAAATTTTAGCTCATTGAGAGTAGGGATTGTTTATTCTTTGTATTTGTAGCATAGTGGTCTGCACATAGTAGGTGCTTAGTAAATGCTTGATGACTGATCATATGTAATTCAACACAGAAAATTACTAATATGACCACCTACCTCACCCCATAGTTGTGAAACCTTCTTTGTAAATGTCGAACTGCCAACTAGGACTCTTTCCCTATAGTTGAAAAGGATTGTTCACATTTTTACCTAGGTTCAGACTTTGTTTTCATAGAAAGAAAGCTGTCACTGGGTAGGGACTAGTAGTATAGGTCATGTCAGGATGTGAGGACATGAGATGAGGACAAAGATTGTTCTAGTTAGACAAGAAGTATGGTTTGGAAAATATAATGCTTGACTTGGAGTCAGGAGGGCCTAGGTTCAAATCCTGCTTGTAATTCTTACTAGCTGTGTGACCATAGTCAAATCAATTAAACTAAGCAACATCTGCAAAAGGGGGTTATAATACCTGTTGCATTCCCTTCACAGTGTTATTGTGGGACTCAAAGAAAATAATGTATGTAAATAATTTTGCCAATCTTCAAAAAAAATTTATTTTCCATTCTGAATGCTTTCTCTCCATCTTACCCCTCTCCTACCCACTGAGAAAGAAAGAAATATGATGTTCATTATTCATACAAAGTCATGAAAAAGCATATTTCCACAACATCCATGCTGTGAAAGAAAAAACAAATAAGGAAAATAAAGAAAGTAAAAGAAAATGTGCTGCATTCTGTACTCAGAGTTCATCAGACTTCTCTCTGAAGGCAGATAGCATTTTTCATCATGAATCCTTTGGAACTGTCATGGATCATTGTATAAATTAAAGATGTATCTTTCACATTTGATTATTGTTACAATATTGCTGTTACTATATACAATGTTTTGGTTCTGCTCACTTCACTTTGCATGAACTCATATAAGTTTTCCCAGGCTTTTCTGAAGCCACCTACTTCTTCATTTTTTACAGCACAATAGTATTCCATCACAATTATATGCCACAACTTATTTGGCCGTTTCCCAATTTTTGGGCGTCCCCTGAATATCCAATTCTTTGCCATCACAAAAGGAGCTAATATAAGTATTTCTGTACATACAAGTCCTTTTCCTTTTTTAATATATGTATATATATATATATATATATTAGGATACAGACCTAGTAGTTGCAATATTGGATCAAAGGATCATAGTGGTATTACTGGGTCACAGTTTTATAGCCCTTTGGGCATAGTTCTGAATGATTCTCCAAAATGCTTCCACCAACAGTGCATTAATGTACCTATTTTTCCAAATTCCCTCCATCATTTTTCATTTTTCTTTTCTATCATGTTAAACAATAGGTATAGGTATAAGGTGGTACCTCAGAGACATTTTAATTTTCATTTCTATAATTATTAATGATTTAGAACACTTTTATATGACTATTGATAGTTTTGATTTCTTCTTATGAAAACTGCCTGTCCATATCCTCTGGCCATTTATCAACTGGGGAATGGCTCTTATTTTTATCATTTTGGCTCAGTTCTCTGTATATTCAAGAAATGAGACTTTTATCAGAGAAATTTGCCAAAAAACTACCCCCCCAGTGTTCTGCTTTCCTTCTAATTTTGGCTACAGTGGATTTTTTGTGTAAAAGATTTTTAATTTTATGAAATCAAAATTATCCATTTTACCTTCTGTGATCCCCTCTATCTTGTTTGGTCATGAGCTCTTCCCTTATCCTTTCCCTTATCTACCGAGTAGTTTTTCTTGATGTTCCCCTAATTTGCTTGTGATGTAATATTTAAATCATGTACCCGTTTCGAGTTTATCTTGGTATACAGTATTAGATGTTGGTCTATGCCTAGTTTCTGCCAAACTGCTTTCTAGTTTTCCCAGCAGCATTTTGCAAATCTTAATGTACTATATAAATGCTAGTTACTACTTTTTGCCTTAGACTTATTCTTTGAGGACCCTAGCAGTGAAAAAGCAGCCAGGAAGAATCTTTTAGCTGTATGGATGGCAGAATGGGTCAGAAGAGAAGGGAATAAAGGGGACACGAAAGAGAAAGAAATTGTTAAGGTGACTTGGAGGTCTTCGAATTTATGAAGAAAGAAACTGAATTTAGGGAAAAGAAATTTGGGAAAATTTGAGGAAAAGTTGACAAAGATTGACTTGCCAAAAAGGAGAAGGGCATGTTCTAAAAGTAGATGACCTAAGGGAGAAAAAAAAAAGAGACTGAGTCTTCTCTAAGGAAGAGAATTAGAAAAGAAAAAGGTAAGGCATGGTAAATAAGAAAAGGTAACTAAAACAAATAGGAAAAACTGTATAAGAATTTATACAGAGATAGTACAAAGAACTGAATATCAAATGGATATCCATTAATTGGGGAACAAGTTCTGGCACGTAAATATAATGAAATATTATAGCACTGTAAGAAACAATGCATATGATCAATACAGAGAAGCATAAAAGGGCTCATGAACTGGTGCAAAGTGACATAAGCTAAACCAGAAAAACAATATACAAAATGACTATAACTATATGAATGGAAAGAACAATAGGAACAAAATAATTGAAATTGAATGAAAGAAATTACAATAACCAAACTTGGCCCCAGTGAAGAGATATGAGAAAGTGCCTTGTCCTCTTCTTTGAAGAAGTTGAGGAGAGGAGGGGAAGGAGTGAAGCATCACATATAGTGTCAGACTTTTTCAGATACGTGGGTTAGCTTTGGTGAACTGTTTTTTTCCTTATCTTTTTTATTCTTTATTATAAGCGATAGTTTTCTGACAGGGGGAAGGACTACATTAGGAAATATAGCAATGTAAAAAACAAGATATATGAAAAAGTATTCTTAAAAATAAACTGAGCTAGATTCTGTAATAAAATAAAGAGAGAAGGACAAGGAAGTAGTATGTGGATATCAAGTTGATATGGGGTAATAAAAAGTTTTAAAGATATAAAGATGTAAAAAAAAGTAGTAAAGGGGAAGTAATGAAGTATAAAGGGGTGATAAGGGATACAAAGAAGTCATAAAAGGTTGTAAACTAGCAGTAGGAATAGAGAGCATAGAGAACTTTGCAATGGCTTGCATTGAGTGCACAATATTTTTGTTTCTTCTGTGGTCAAAGGATTGCTACCAGAGCTCCAAGTGGAGGCAACCTGATTACAGTGAGGGCTTTGTCAACTTGGGGAGAAAACTTCCCCAAACTTGTCAAAACAGATGACTACTAGCCCCTTCTTGTGATTCACATGGGAATAAATGATACTGCCAGGATGAATCTAGAAAGCCAAGGAATATGAACATTGCCAAGGAAAATGAACTCTTGGGCAAGAAACTGAAAATTATAAGGGGCACAGGTGGTGTTTTCACCATTACCGCCCATTAAAGGCCAGGAATGAAGAAGAAAAAAAGCTGATTTTGGAGAACAACTAGTTAAAAAAGGTATCATCTGAGAATGGGATTTGATTTCTGGACAATGGCTCAAAATACTGGAGAAACAGTTTTCTGTCAAGGGATGGAGTGTAACAAAGGCTGGTAAGAGTGTATTTTCCTGGTGTTTTGCAAATTTAATCAAAAGAACTTTAAACTGAAAAAAAGAGGATTGGAAAAAAGTGCCTACATGAATCCAACTACCTCGATACCATACACCAGTGGTATCAAACTCGAATAGAAAAAGATCTCTGTTGGCCTTATATTGGCTTAAAAATCCCACAAATTAGCATTATCCATCTTTTACTGTATTTTTGTTATTTTGATAAACATTTCCCAATTGCATTTTAATCTGGTTTGGTTATGCTGGGAATTTTGGGGGCTGCATGTGGCCTGTGGACTCAAGTTTGATACCTCTGTCCATAGAGGCACGAATCAACTTAGGAAGAATAAATATTGAGATGCTCAGAGCTTAGAGGAGCTACAAAATGAGCCTCATATGTCTACCTAAAAATACTAGAGATCCTAGTTAAAGGAGGTGTCACTCCTAGGTATCAGTGAGACATTGTACAATAAGAGCCAAGACTAGAATATAGTCTGTATAAATATCTGGGGCAGATAGGTGGTGTAGTGGATAGAGTGCCAGTCCTGGAGTCAAGAAGACCTGAGTTCAAATCCAGCCTCAAATATTTAGTAGTTGTGTGACTCTGGGCAAGTCACTTAACCCTGTATACCTCAGTTCCTCATATGTAAAATGAGCTAGAGAAGGAAATGGCAAACCACTCCAGTATCTACCAAGAAAACCCCAAATGGGAGAGTCAGATGTAACTGAAACGACTCAATAAAAACAAAATATCTTATTCAAAATAAAGAAGATAAAAGGAAGGACAAAACACTGTACAATATCCAAGTGAGGAAAATCAAGAATTATCAGGGCTAACCACGGTGGACCACATTTAGGTAATGATCAATAAAGGGAGAAATCAAAATCAGAGTATACTACGGATCACCTGTATGGGAAGAGGAAATAGGTCCGTGATTCAGGAAACAGATCACAAGCCCACCACTGAGGCATGATATAATAATGATGGGAGATTTTAATTATATGGACACCTGCTGGAGCTTTCCTTCTTTAAAAGCAAAGATACTTATAATGTCTTCATTTGCATTAGTGAAAATTTCATCCTCTGAATCTGATTCTCACCAATATGGAAGAACTGGTTGCTACAGCAGAAATGATGGAAATTTTGGAGGGAAGTGACCACTCCCTCCTGGAGTTTATGACAGAAAATGAGAAGAAAGTCAGGGATAGCAACAATATATACCCTGAAATTTTGGGGAAAAAACTTTTGAATGGTTCGGAAGAAAGATATATAGAATCCAATGGAACAAAAATCTACAGAGGAAATCAGGCCAGGAAGTAAAAGGAACTACCAAGAATGAAATTCTGAAGACATAAAGGGAAACAATGTCAATGAGAAAAATAGGAGTTGCCTGGAGACTGATGTGGACAATCAGGAACTTGCTAATCTCATTA